CCCTTCCAGCATTCTCTGACACCTGTGGCCTCTCTCCTCATGACTTTGTCAGGGAATTACAAACCAATTCAACCTGCTCATCTAAAAACTCAGCACTGACCCTGAATGAAGTTGATGAACATTTCAAGGTCCCTTATCTGTGTCTTCAGTTGTTCCACCAGCTGCTCCTTCACCCTGGCTGGATTAACAATCTGTGCTATGGCAGCATCTACACGCTGTCGCAATTCCTCCGGAGAGAGTGTTGCAATATCTTCACTCAAGTCCATATCCAGCTTCTTTATCAACTCATTTATAATCATCTGCAAAACACAAGTTAGTAGCATGATCTCACCGTGTGGCCCACGAGCTTCAAAATACTTCTTTACGCACACGTTACCTTAGAAACAGGCCACCTTTGCTGCACACAGAAAATTACAAGAGAAGACACTGGACAGGTTTACATGTGCAGACAAACTACTGACACTCTATTACAGCTGCTAGCGAGAAATAAGGACTGACCAACTCCTGCAGCCTGTAAGAGGCTCAGAAATGCTAAGAAATACAGGCAGAAGGACTTTGCGGGCCTTACTTGTTGTCTTTCCATAACCACGGACTGTGGCAGGGAATCATAGCTGCCCTCTTGGTAAGCGAAAGTCTCCAGGTCATCCAGCTGTGTCTTAAGCTGCAGAATCAGCTCTCTCTGCTTCTCCTTCTGGACCTCAATTTGCTCCTTTTTCTCTTGCTCACTCTGAGAAAAAGTTATCAGTAAATACAATTGAAGATTTATTGTCATAGCCAACCCCCAGACAACAGGACCATGGTATGAGCAGTTTTTCCTTCAGCTCTTGTGCTTAACTGGCAAGCACAGCATGCCAGTCTGAGAAAGAGATGTGCCTGAACATCAAGGAGAGGTACCAGCCACATCACCTCATCTGACAAAGGAGGAGCCTCTCCAGACCTGCTGCACTCAAGCTCTGTCGCACAAAGCCAGGATCCACGAAGCACTGTGGCAAGTCGCCAAAGAACGTGCACATATCAAAGATTCTCTGAGTCAGCGCTCTATCTCGGAAGGCAGCGGTAACAGAGCGAGCAGGGCTCTAACACGTGTCCCTAGGAGCTGGCTTCGAGCCCTCGCGGACCTGCACGCTCCCGTAGCTGAGGCCCGTGCCAGCCCGCCGGCCGGTCTCCCCCGGGCCCCGGCTGGGGTGCAGCACCTCTGGGCCGTGCGAAGCCCTCGCCTCAGCACCCGAGCTGCCTCCCGCGGCGGAGAGGGGCCACCCCTGCCACTACCAGGCTTCAGCCAGGCCGGACACACGTACCGGCCGCGGTGTGGAACAGCAACCAATGCCAAAATCCTAGAGGAGACAGTGCTGTCCTCGCCGCAGCAACAGCCGCCTCCCCGCCGGCAGCGGGGCCCCGCCGAGCCGCGTCACCCGCTCCCCGGGGCCCCGCCGAGCCGCGTCACCCGCTCCCCGGGGCCCCGCCGCGCCGCTCCGCTCCCCGCCGCGCCGCTCCGCCCGCTCCCCGCCGCTCCCCGGGGCCCCGCCGCGCCGCTCCGCCCGCTCCCCGCCGCTCCCCGCCGCTCACCGGGGCCCCGCCGAGGCCGGGGGCCAGCGGCGCGGGGCAGCCACGGAAGGCGAACTCCTCCAGCTCCCGGAGCAGGCGCTGCTGCTCGGCCGGCCCGGCGCGCGCCACCTGCCGCAGCCGGAACTGCACCTGCGCGAAGTGCGAGGCCAGCGCCAGCAGCGCGCCGTGCAGCCGGCGCCGCTCGGCCCGCAGCCGCGGCACCGACCGCGGCGACTCGCCCGCCACCGCCTCCGCCTCGTCCTCCTCCTCGTCCTCCGCCGCTGACACGGCGCCCACCGGCGCCCAGCGCTCCCCCGGGCCCAGGGGGCCGCCCTCCGCCTCCATGACGGCAGCTACCGGCGCCGCCGCACCGCCGCCATCTTGTCACCGCGGCGCGGGGCGGGGCCTGGCGGGGGCGGGGCCTGCGAGGCGCTAGGGCGCCACCCCGCGGCGCGGCGGGACGGCTGCGGCGGGGGCCCCGGGGGGCCCCGGGGAGATCTCGGTGGGTCCCGGGGGGTCCCACGGGGTCTCCGTGATCCCAGGGGGACTCGGTGGCCCCGGGGGGGGGGGTTCTCGGGAGTCCCGGGAGGTCTCGGGGGTCCCGGGCAGTTCTCGGGGGTCCTGTGAGGTCTCGGGGGCACCAGGGGGTCCCGGGGATACCGGGGGGTCTCGGGCGCGCGCAGCGCGGGGCCGACGACCGGGCCGCCAGCTGGCCGGTCCCGCCCCGCCCCAGGCCGACCCCCGCTCCCGGCTCCCCGCCGGCGGCCGCGCCCCCGCCCCGAAATAGCGCGGGGCGGGGCTGCCACCGCCATGGCGAGGTGAGCGCGGCCGGTCGGGACGGGCAGCGCCCGGTGCCGGGGGGTCAGGGCCCGGAGCCGGAGGCACCATCGGGGAGGACCCTCCAGCGCGGCGCGGCGGGGAACGGCGCCGGGGCTGGCGGGGCAGAGCGGGGCCGGCCAGCTGCCGGGGGGTGCCGTGCGGGGGGCACCGCTGCCCTCCCTCGCTCGGGCCGGCCCGGCGCTCGGCCCGGGCAGGGTGCACTTTTGGGGCACCTTCCTTGCCCCAGCCGCCACCCCGCGCCTCGCACACGGTCCCTGGAGAGCGCTGCTGGGCGCCCGGGAAATGCCCGACGGTCTGCTCTTCCCCAAGGCAACCTGCGAAGACGCTGTGGTATGACCGCCCGAGGTACGTCTACCTGGAGTTCTGTGTCGAGGACAGCGTGGATGTTCAGGTCACCATTGAGAACCAGCGGCTGGTGTTTAGGTGAGCTACCACTGCCCTGCAGACCGGGGTCATGGCCCTGAACTGGGGGTGGTTTGAGGGACAGGGCACGCATGGCCTCGGCGCTCTCCTAAGCCATGCTGTTACGGTGTTTTGGCAGTTGCAAAAATGCAGACGGTGTGGAGTTCTACAATGAGATCAACCTGTATGCCAAGATCAACTCCAAGGTGAGGCTTTGCCCCAGCAAACTGCTCTCCGACAGCCTGCATCAGGCTCAGACTTAAACCCAGCCTGTGCAGTCTTGAGCAACACTGCTTAGCGTTGAATCCTGCCCATTTCCCAAGAGCCTGAGTGGGGTGAGCACGAGCCTGGAAGCCCTGACCCTGGGCCTGGCACTCACGCTGCTGTGTTGGGCCAGAAAAAACTCTCTGCTTCTCTGTCCCCCACAGCCTGAACATGGCTAAAATTTAATCCTATGCGTGTCTGCGGTGGATTACAGGGAGGAGTCCAGCAGACACTGAGGTGAGGCACCCCTGATCTCTTGGCAGGACTCACGGGAGAAGCGGTCTGACCGCTCCATCACATGTTTTATGAGAAAGTGGAAGGAGAAAGTGGCCTGGCCCCGCATCACCAAGGAGAACATCAAGGTGTGTGTGGCACCCGGAGGCCAGGACCAGCCTCAGCGCATGTGCTGTCCCCATGCAGCACCTCACGGCTCCCAGGGACAACCTGCCCCCCAGGACATACACTGAGGGCCCCACACAGGCATTCCCAACACAAGAGCTCCCAAAGAGCCCAACCTCATGGTCACCACCAGTCCCCGGGCCCCTGCCCCCCAGGAAGGATGCAGCACCCCTCTCCCCTGATGCAGGCAGGGTCAGAACCAGCACCCACAAAGGGGCACAATCCCCTTCCTGCCCTTCCCCAGCCCACCCAGTCCCCTCGCCTGTGCAGGAGCAGCCCCTCCTCACCCCCCAGAGCAATCCCTGGGCTGTTGGGATGGGGTTGCCTGCTCCCCTCCGTGCTGCTCCCTCCCTCAGAGAATGTTCTGTCTGCCCACAGCCAGCCTGGCTCTCCGTGGACTTTGACAACTGGCGGGACTGGGAAGGGGACGAGGAGGTGGAGAGGGCCACGGTGGAGCAGTATGCAGAGGTGGGCCAGGCCGCAGGCCTCGGTGTGCCGGGGCGTGTGTAGGGTGGGCGCTCGGGCGTTCGGAGTTCCCACAGCGGTTTTTTTTCCCCATCCAGCTCCTGGAGAAGGTGACGGACAAAGCCCCCCCCCCGGACATGGACGACCTGGACGTAAGTGCCGCCGGCGAGCTGCTTCCCCCAGACGCTGCCCCGTGCTGGAGCCGGCCCAGCCGAGCCCCCCGGGCACCGGCAGCAGCTCCAGCGGCTCTCCCGGGCAGCGCGTCCCGGGGCCGGCCCCCTCCCTGCCACCTCGCTCCTCCCTCCCGCAGGACGGCCTCTGAAGCCCGGGACCCCGGGGACGCCGCGGCCGCAGGAGACCTCCCGGTGTGCCGGCAGCGCGCCCTGAGAGCAGCGCGGGCCGGGCGCGCCGAGGAAGCGGAGCCGCCCCGCCCGGTTCGGCGCCGAGCGCGGCGGACCCCGGCTCAGGGCGGCGGGAGCCGTGCGGCCTCCCCGCGCCGGGCAATAAACGTGAGCTGCCGCCGCCGCCGCCGTCTGCTGTCTGCTCGGGGCCCCGCCGGTACCGGGAGCGCGCGTCCGCGGGGCACCGTGCAGGCCCCACCCACCTGCGGCACGGCGGCCGCGACCGCCAGCCCCGTGTCCCTCCGCGGCCGCCGTCGCCGCCAGCCCCGTGTCCCTCCGCGGCCGCCGTCGCCGCCAGCCCCGTGTCCCTCCGCGGCCGCCGTCGCCGCCAGCCCCGTGTCCCTCCGCGGCCACCGTCACCGCCAGCCCCGTGTCCCTCCCCGGCCGCCGTCGCCGCCAGCCCCGTGTCCCTCCGCGACCGCCAGCCCCGTGTCCCTCCGCGGCCGCCGTCGCCGCCAGCCCCGTGTCCCTCCGCGACCGCCAGCCCCGTGTCCCTCCGCGGCCGCCGTCGCCGCCAGCCCCGTGTCCCTCCGCGGCCACCGTCACCGCCAGCCCCGTGTCCCTCCCCGGCCGCCGTCGCCGCCAGCCCCGTGTCCCTCCGCGACCGCCAGCCCCGTGTCCCTCCGCGGCCGCCGTCGCCGCCAGCCCCGTGTCCCTCCGCGACCGCCAGCCCCGTGTCCCTCCGCGGCCGCCGTCGCCGCCAGCCCCGTGTCCCTCCGCGGCCGCCGTCGCCGCCAGCCCCGTGTCCCTCCGCGGCCGCCGTCACCGCCAGCCCCGTGTCGCTCCCGCCGCCGCCATGGTGTTCCAGTGCCAGCGGGACAGCTGGGCCCGGCAGGTAGCGGCGGGGCGGGCGGGGCGGGCGCGGCGCGGGGCGCGGGGCGCGGGCCGGTCCTCACGGCGCCGCCGCCTCTCCCGCAGTTCGCCACCACGGTGGTGTCGTGCCGGGCGGCGGAGCTGCGGCCCGAGGGCGGCGGGGAGCCGGTGCGCGGGTTCCAGGTGGTGCTGGAGGACACCATCCTCTTCCCCGAGGGCGGCGGGCAGGTACGGGCCGCGGCGGGCGGCGGGCCCGGGGCCGGGGCCGGGGCCGGGCTGGCGGAGCTGACGCCCCGTGTCTGCAGCCCGACGACCGCGGCCGCATCGGCGACGTGCCGGTGCTGCGCGTGACCCGGAGGGGCCCCGAGGCCGTGCACTTCGTGCAGGCGGCGCTGGAGCCCGGCGCCGAGGTGCTGGTGTCGCTGGACTGGGAGCGCCGCTTCGACCACATGCAGCAGCACTCAGGTCCGGGCGCGGGGTGCCCGGGAGCACCGGGCGCGGGGTGCCCGGGAGCACCGGCGGCGGGGCGGGGCGGGGCGGGGCGCGGGCGCCGCCCCCGCGGGCCCCCCCGGGTGGTGAGCCAGCCGGGTGCCGACGGGTGTGGGCGAGGTTCAGCCTGCTTTAGCGGGGGGCTCAGGGTCGGTGGGTGACCCCTCTGGCCGCTTCTAAGCGGCAGCAGAAGCCCCACGGTGCCGAGCGCATGCCTGGGCGTCGGCAAGTGTCGGGGGGCTCGCCAGCAGCAAAAATACAGTCTGACTGAAAATCTCTTTTCCTGTGCCCGGCGGCACTCACAGCACTTGCTTGCACATCTCTTCCAGGACAGCATCTCATCACTGCCATCGCAGAGCAGATGTTTGGATTCAAGACAACTTCATGGTGAGCAGGGAAAAGGCTCCTTTTGACCCCAGTCTTACCTTGTTTGGCATGTGCCGGCATGCTGGGCTGCAAGGAGCTGAACACTGATAAATCAAAAGCAGTTTGGACATTTCACTCGAGCTCAGAGTGCCTGGGAGAGGTGACTGAACTGGAGAGAAGCTGTGCAAAGTATTTGCTCTGTCTTGTCCTTCTCCAAGGGTTTGGTATGCATCTGGTGCTCTGTAAATAACAGGATGAAGAGGAAAGTATGTTTTGTTTCAGTCACCATGTTCCCAGCAGTGGGATGTCTCTTGGTGCTGCACAGAGGGACCTTCCAGCTGGTCTTAGCTACAGCAGCAGATGTTCTTCATCGGTGCAGGGAGCTGGGCCGTCAGCGAAGTGTCATTGAGTTGGACACCCCCTCCATGACAGCAGAGCAAATAGAGGCCCTGGAGAAGAGTGTGAATGAGAAAATCCGGGAGAGGATACCAGTGATGGTGAGGGAACTGGCTGCAGATGACCCTGAAATTGAAACAGTGAGTGGTGGGGACAGAATTGATGATATCCGTGGGACCAGAGTGACTGCGGCATGGATGTCACCTTGTTTGCCATTGTCCTTTTGCTAGGTGAGAAGCCGTGGTTTGCCCGATGACCACGCGGGGCCAGTGCGAGTTGTTGACATCGAAGGCATAGACTCCAACATGTGCTGTGGGACTCATGTCTCCAACCTGAGCGACTTGCAGGTGGGGGGCTGCAGCTGAGGACCCTCGCTCTGCATGTTCAGACCTAGCACAGCAGCAGTCCCTGAGGTCTGGGGTCTGCTGGAAACTGTCCTGATGGTAAAGGGGGTGGCAGGAGCCCTGTGCTGGATGAGCCCCAGCGGGGCCTCACACAGGTCAGCAGTCCTTGTCCAGTCAGTCAGGCTCCTTTGTAACAGAACTCGGCCCCTTGTCTGTAGCAATGGTATTTCTGAACTGCTGCTGCCTCAGCGAAGGGCACATGGTTTATTGCCAGTTCAGTCGTGCATTGACGGGTTGCTAGCAATTTGTTCCCTCTGCTTAAAGCTCTGATATTTTTGCGTGTTTATAATGAATGAGAAATCTTCTGTGCAGGGAGGTGGAGATAAAATTCTAGAGTTGCCTTTTAGTGATTCTGTCTTTTCAGTCATTTGTTGGAGTCTGTATCCCAGCAGAGACATCCAGATGCACTGCAGAGTGCAGCCCATGACTAACAATTTGCATTCATTCCCCTGTATTGCCATCTTTTTTTTTTTTTTTTTTTTTTTTGTATGTTGACCTTATGGCTGGTTTTAATCAGTTTATTTTCAATGGCAGGGCTAATATTCACAACAACATGTAGTCTAGGAGGAACTGGCCACCTGTGTGAGTATAAATAAAGTACTGTTCTGACCAGGGTGATTTTCTTTTTAAGGTTATTAAACTCCTTGGCACAGAAAAAGGGAAAAAGAACAAAACCAACTTGGTTTTCCTGTCGGGAAACAGAGTGCTGAAGTCAGTCGAACAAAGTTACAGTACTGAGAAGGCTCTAACCTCACTGCTCAAGTAATACACTTTCCACTTTGATTATTTCATCTTTATTATTCCCTCTGACAAATACCACATAAGCCTTGGGGTGCATCTACATGGTGCTTTTTATAATGCTATCTGCTTTTGCTCCTTTAAGAAATCCTTTCTTTGTCCTTCAGACTGATGATTCAAATTCTCCTTGTTCTTTCAGAAATGGACCAGGTGAGCACGTGGAGGCTGTGAAGAGGCTGCAGAGTTCTGTGAAACTGCTTCAAAAGGTGTGAGGATGGCTGAGAAAAGAAGATTGTGGTTGCTTCCTGCAGACCTGAGCTTTAGTCGTGATAACTGGGAATTGAATCAGTTTTTGTGGATATTATGAAAACTGCTCCCATCTCTGGGAACATAACTCAGTGTTCACACTGCCTTCTCCATCTGCAATACAGTTTATTTGCTTTTCTTTCAGAATAACTTGAACCTGCTTAGAGACATTGCTGTTTTGATAGCCCAGGACTTCAAGAGCAAACCTGTTCAAAGTCAGCTGTTTGTGTTACACAGGTATGGGGGAGTTCAGGGAAAAGTGTAAAATGGTATCTTACATGTTTTATGGCAGTTGCGTCTCTGACGCCTATTCAGGTTTGTTTCTCAAGGAAGAATGTAAACAAGGTGAAGAACAGAATATTAAACTGCCTCAGTCTGCTGGAAGGTTGTGTAATTAAAGGGATGTGTTAGTATTCAGTCACTGAATTCTTCTGGTTTTATAGCTAAGAAATAACTGCGTCTATCTGATATCTCTCTGCCCTTGATATTTTCAAATAAACCTGAGGAGCTCTGTTTCTTACATAATTGTAAATAATTCCTAATATGTCCATAGGAATGCACAATGAGGAATTAGATACACAGAAAAAAACCTAATCTCCCTCCTAACAGCAAGATGCCAAAACCCAAGGCCTGATCAAGCCTTTGGTTTCTGATCGATATTTTGGACCCTGGAGGGGATTTTTGGTTCTTTCTGAAGTGTTTTTTTTTATCCATACAGGAAAGAGGGTGACTCTGAATTTATGAATATCATCGCTAATGAGATTGGGACAGAGGTGAGTCACTGATGAACAAAGACTAACCTGACACGACTGACTTTTTCATTCAAGCTGTAGCACAGGCAGGGCCAGGCTTCTGTTTGTAGCATAGTCACAAGCTGCAGGTCTGTTTCCTTTCAAAAGCCACATGAAGTTATTGTCCCCAGCAGCCTCAGTCTGCAGGGGAGTCGTCAACAGTCAAGAAATACAACAGTGAAAATTCAGAGCACTGTAGAAGAGCCTGTCTCCCAAAGAGCTGTACAGAACCTCATTGTCTGTTTTAGAGCAAACTAGACTAGACTAGGACTAGACTATTTCAGTTGGAAGGGACCTACAGTGGTTATCTAGTCCAACTGCCAATCATATCCTTTTAACTTAGGATACCCCAGTACCCATTCTGTCCCCCACAACATATGATTGAGCATAAAAGGTTCAAAAGCGCTCCCCTCCCTTTTCCTTTCTTCAGATTGAGTCTCAGTAATGCACACAAACTTCTGAATTGTTTGCATGCTTGGATGCATCCTGTGGCCAGTGTCTCTGTCCTCTTCCTGGACAAGGAGGGCACTGGTTATGTTGGAGCAAGATCCGTCTGTCTGTCCTCAGGAAACTCTGCTGTTCCTGACTGTGGGAGATGAAAAAGAAGCAGGACTCTTTCTTCTAGCTGGACCTGTTGAAGCAGTTGAGAATTTAGGTCCCAGGTAACATGTTCTATGGTTCCTTTAAAATTAGTAAGAATTCTAATGTTGCAGACTAAGCATCTGAGCAGTATTGTAAGGGCATCCATCGCTCCTCGTTCGCTCTCGGGCAGGTTAGGCCAGGCCATTCTCTTCTCCGCAAGTGAGCGGCTGTCAGCCCGTACTGTTGTTCCTGCAGGGTGGCAGAGCTGTTGGGAGGCAAAGGAGCTGGGAAGCGAGGCCGCTTTCAGGGCAAGGCAACCAAGATGAGTCATCGAGGAGAAGTGCAAGCTCTGCTCCAGGAATTCGTCAGTCATTGAAGCCCTGAAGCGTAAGAAACAGTTCTCAAAGTAGGGCTGTCTTCCCTCCCTTGCGTAAACTCCACCAACTTCTCTCCCAGGGAATAAAGAAATAAAAACAACAGCTGGTGCGCATATGCTCTGTGTGAGCTGATTTGGTGCTCATGGAAAATTGGGGGAGGGGATCTGCCATCCACGCGTTGCTGCAAGGGTTCTTTCATTTCCCCAGACAAATGGTACGCATTCTTAAGTGATTAAAAGTAGTCATTAACCATTTTGTAGGCTTCGTAAAACAAAGAGAGGGGCCCTCCCATTCCCTGTACATTGTGGCTTTTTACTTTGTACCAGTTGCTGAGGAGTAACTGCTTCATGTGCATATTTATTTATAAGAAGTTGGATGCATTTAAAAAAATCAGAATACTGGTAAGAAGCAGAGGGTTTGAGTATGATATTTGCTAACAAGTGCAAAGAAAATGAATCAAGCTTTTGCTGCTAAAATTTTTTAGGCAGAAGAAGGAATGAAATGTGGCAGGAATTGGAGGAATGCTCAGATCAGTAAATTCCCCTTAAAAGACCAAACTAAGCTGGTCACCAGTTACAGCTGCCTGAGGTAGAGCTGGGGGGCAAGAAGATGAGATGCTGCTGTCAAGCCTGTGAGCAAGGAAAGGAGGAGGCACCAAAGAACAAGCCTCCTTGAGCCCTTTTCTGAAAAACAAAGCAACTGACTTTATTTCCTGGCTACTCAGAAATCTGCAAGTGCTGGAGGTCTGGAGATGTTTGTGCTGGTGCCGCTGCCAGGGCCCCTCACTGCTGGCCACCAGGCCGGGCTGCTGCTGGCCTCGGGGCTTGGCAGTTCCCTCAGGCAGCGGGCGCTGCTGACCCAGCTGTGACGCTGGTGGGAGCAGCTTTTGGGTCACACTGGCTTCATGGCTGCAGTCCCAGAGCTCTGCTGTGGGGCCATCAAGGATGTTATTGCAGAAAGGAAGTTCATCCCCTTGTAGCTGGCCTGGAAGAACCATGTTAACACGCACATGCTGACTGTACATGAGCATTAAATGCGGATAGAAGCAGCCACCTAGTGCTTTGTTTTGCAGGCACATAGAAAAACATATGAAAGCCCTTTGTTTGAGCTGTGCATTCGGCATTTCTTGTTTGTGTATGCCTGCACGTTTCCTTCGCTTCCGTTGCCATAAGCTTGAGCTTTCATTATCATGCTCTTCCCCCCAGCAGCGGCCTTCCCCTGTCTGCAGTAGTATCTTAGTTTGTCTCTTTCACACGATAAGAAATAGCTTTACAGACAATCAGGAGTCTGGCCCAAGCATTGCTCTGGGCAGGCATGGCTAGATTGTACTGTTACAGCTGTTGATGTAAGACTGGATCTTGGCGTACAGCTGACTCACGCCACTTTCTATGCAAGTCTGCAAGACGTGGCATTGTCCAGCTCGTGCCTACAGCTCCTGAGCATTCTCCTTTGGAGCAGCAGCTGTCTGTGGTCCCCTAAGCAGACACTGCAGCTTTCTGTGCACGGGCACACTGGCACCAGGCCGTGCTGGCAGTGCCTTGTCTCGACTGCTACTGGGAAGGCGTTTTCCCGGTGCAGCACAGCGCTCCTACACCTCTGCCACGGGGTAACTGGCAAGGACGTGAGCCCCGAGCTGGCCTCCCTCGGGGCAGCCCCCGCTGAGAAGAGCAAGGTCATGACCAGCCCTGCTCTCATCTCCCACCCGTCGCAGCTGTGTCAGTTCCCGTCCTCCTCGCAAACCCCCACCGCAAGAGCAGGATCTGAGTTCAGGAGTGTCCAGCCACCAAACTCACTTCCCAGTGAGTATCATCACTAATGCTCAGCAAAAGGAAGCTGTTCCCCACCTGACACCGTGGCCCGGGTAGTGGCAAGCTTTCCTCAGGCTTGATCAAGCACAGCAAAGGACACAGTCCTGAATTGGCTGGGACAGAGAGCGGCTGGAAGGGAGAGCAGGTCCCCCACGAGCAGGAAATCATTCAGCTTCGTGTATCAGTCCTTCCCTTTGTTGGAGTGCAGTTGTTACGGGCCCACTTTTGAACATCGGAGTTTCTCTGGCTAATACAGATGTAAACTCCCTTGGGATCAGCAGAGCTACCCCCCCGCCAGTGTTTCCTCTGCTTGCCTTTTCTGCCAGGGCGGATCCTGGAGCTGTTGCAATCTCGGCTGCAGGGACTAAAGGGCGCTGTGGAGCCACAGCGTGGAAAAGCATGACAGGTAATTCGGGAATTTTTTCCCTTCTTCCAAGAAATGGCATGAGAAGTTTGCTCCAGATGCTGATAATAAACAGAGAAATAGAAGAAAAGAAACCTCTCTCCTAGGGAGGTTTCTCTATCATGAGCACACATGGCGGGGTCCCAGAGAGGGGCCTTTTGCAGCTGCCTCCATGGGCACTAGCTGCCCGTCCCCATCCTTCCTGGTGGGGATAACCGCCGGGCCAAGCCTGCCTGCTCCTCAGCTGGAGGAAGCTGAGAGGAAGGGTAGGTGTGCAGGTCTAGGCGAGCTTTCTACAGAGAGTCAGCTCCACAGCTGAGCTCTGTACCAAGCGAGATTTACGGCAAACTTTGCCATGGAAGGTGTTGTAGCATGGATGGGTTTTAGCATGGGGTTCTGCTGCCATGCAGGTTGGTCAGGAGGAAGGTGCTCTCTTGCCTGATGTCTCCTGGTGTTGCGGCAGCAGGAAGGCTTCCATCAGGGCAGGGAAAGGCTGCAAAGCCTGCACACTCTGCTCCCATGTGCGGGAAAGGCCCGTGAGACGAGAGTGGACGTTACCATGGCTCTGCTGGGCACCAGCTCCCAAAGGCATGGCAAGATCCAGGCAGGGGAGATGGCATCTCTTAGGTGTGCCCCGGCAGAGAACACCGCTGATGCTTATAGCTGGGTATGGGGTAAATGCTGCAGGAGCTGGAGGAAATACTGCACGCACACACGTACAGTCTGGCAGGAAGAAAGTACCTGTACCTTCTTATCTATTTTAAACCATCCCAGACTGAGAGAGGATGTTTACTAACCGAGTTAACTGGCAGGCTGCACAGCCTGTACGGCTTTGAAGTCAGTGGGGCGAGCCTGCAGCCGGCTTCCCGCTAAGGAGCGCGGCGCCGAGGCAGGAGGGCCGGGACGGGGCTGCCCGGACAGCCAAGCCCGCGGCAGCGAAGCAGCTTGACCCCACACTGATGCAGCCCCTGCCTGCGCCCGGAGCAGACACGGAGGTCGGTGCCCAGAGGCTGAGACAGCGCTGACCGCCGGGCCCCAGTCCTGCAACACAGCCCGCAGCTGAACAGCAGCTCTGGCCCCGCAGCCTGGGGGGCTCGGCACAGCCCCAGCAAAGCCCTGCTAGTTCCTGTAAGCAGCGAGGTGACACAAGTGTGTCCCTGTTCCTGGCGCGAGGTGCACCCAGAAACCGTGGATAAACACCACAAAAAGCAGCTCATCCCCCCCGCCCCACTGTGCTGGCTGCGTCTGACTGCACCCGAGGGCGAAAGGCGACGATGACCGGGAGGGCCTGGCACTGCCTGTCCCAGTGATTTGCCCATGCCTTGCTGGTGATGGCAGGAGCAGTGCCCCAGGACAGACAGACACCCTTCCTCCAATACCAACAGCAGAACCCGCCGCAGTCCCTGTGTGCAGGAGCCAATCCCCCATCCCACCTCACCAGCCAGTGAGACATCCAAACTCACCAGCTAAACACACCTTCAGCTTTAATAAAATACCTCGTGTTTACAGACACCCCCATATGTATATGTGTATATAGCTATGCATTATACATACACGCACACACACATATGCATACGTGTACCCCATGCTGCTTCACACAGCAGTGAATACTGAACACCTTGGGGTTGAGGGGACTCCCGCAAGCCGGTGCTTTATCTCCAAATCACAGTGTCTGCCCGTTCCTGTAACAGAGCTGCTGTGCCAGCAGACCCTGAGCACCCATGGGTGAGCACCCTGCTCCTGGTGGTGCCATCCCCCGTCCTGCAGCATGGAGGCGGCACGTTCCCATGAGCTGCAGGGGAGCACAGAGCCTTCCCCCCTGCAGCTGCCAGGTCCTGGGCTGGTGACCCCCACCCGTGGGTGCGGGAAGGGCAGCAGGAGCCCTGGGAGCACGGGGCTAGCCACAGACTGCCCAAGCCTGCAGCACAAGTGGCACTGTGGGTCTGTGCCACGGGAGCCATCCGGCAGCCCAGCCTGTGCAGTCTGCTCCCGGTGTGGAGTCAGGCCACGCGGATTTAGTGGGGAGCAAACAGTGGCTGGGGTGCACCCACAGTCCAGTGACTGCTCCCACGCCCAGAGCTGGGGTGGCCATTACCTGCAGGGACACCCCTAGACAGCCTTCTTGTTCTGCGTGGCCAGGAGCTGGGAGACGCAGTAAGGGACGAGGCCGACAGTGGCCAGCGGCACAGCCGCGCTCTTGCAGAAGGAGAGGATGTAGAAGAGCAGCTGCATGTGGGAGGGCGGCTTGAAGGCATCGAAGAGGTGTAGGACGAGGAGAGAGGCGCCGACACAGCCCAGGCGTAAGGGCAGTGGCCAGCCCTGCTTCCTCCGGCAGCTGTCCAGGTACATGTGGGAGTTGAGGGCCAGCCCCAGCCCGAAGAGGATGCCCAGGTTACGGAGGAGGCTGGCGAAGGGAGTGGTGTCGATGTGGACCCACTCAGGATGAGCACACCACTTCTGCGCCTTCTCCAGCGTCCAGAGCAGGTCCACGCCGAGCACCCGCAGCAGCAGGTAGAATCCCAGGGCAAAGCTGAAGAGGAAGAAGGTGACGCCCACGTACCGGCGGAGGCTGGCATGGTAGATGCAGCGGACGTGCTGGAAGGTCTTGGCCACGGCCATCCCTGACGGTAACGAAGCGGGAGAGGAGACAGAGCTGATGAGGAAACAATTGCCTACCTCGGGGTGGTGGAGCTGAGCAGAGCCCACAGCCCTGGGTGCTCCGGCAGAGGACCTGTGCCATGGGGACTGTCCCGCCAGCCACCGCTGTGCCCTGTTGCTCACAGATGGACGATTCTGCTCCCTCGCCCAGCGACAGCCCTTTCACAGCCCAAGCGTGCCCTGCCTGTGCCTTCAGGCCACGTTCACTGTCCCTCAGAGCCCAGCAGTGTCTGGAAATGCTCCACCTGCCCGACTGGGACATGTGCCTCAGACGGGATAGGGACAAAGGCACGTCCTGGAGTTGCTGAGGGCAGTAACTGCAGAGCCACAGACACAGCTCTGCATCACCACCCCACACGTGTCCCTCAAGCTGTGCACTCTTTCTGGCCGGTGCTGCAGATGGGGACTGGGGGTCCGATGCACTCACCTGATATGACCCCTGCGATGACTTGATGGGGGAAGTGGGCGGCAATGAAGACTCGAGACAGACAGACGCAGACCTGAACTGCCCAGAACCCCGTCCAAAGCACGGTCCACAGCACCCTGCGAGGGGCAAGCGGCCACGTGGGTGCCAGGGCCGGCTCCTGCTGCCCAGGGCACCGCCACCGCGTACCCCGAGCAGTACCGGGCACCCGCTGAGCCTGTCCTCGTGCACACCCCACCTGGGGCGCCTGGGCCCGGCCGTCTGCCCCAGCTTGTGCCTTGATGGGCCCGGCTGCACCCACCCAGCACGGGTGGTTTTGGCATGCAGCTTACCAGTATTTGAGTGTCCTCGACTGCTTCTTCCCCATGGCAGTGGAGAGGAAGGCTGTCACCATGACGTAGTACACGCCTGCTGCCCCCATGGCGTGGCCGGAGGGGCTCCCTGGGCGAGAAGAGAGCCCCAGGTCAGACCCCCCTTCAGAACGGGCTGCGCCCTCATGTCCACAGGGCTCCTGGGCAGCACCCCAGGCTCCGGGGGCTGCGGCACTGGGTGGCACAGCACCCAGCACGTGCCCCGCAGTGGGGACCCCACAGCCCGCACCCAGCGCCGTCCCTGGGCACAGGCGGGGCTGGAGTGGGGAGCAGCACGGCAGGGACAGCGTGGCAGGGACAGAATGGTAGCACGGCTCTGGCTCCGCAGCCCATCGCCGGATAAGACTGGGCAGAGGGCACTGACCATCCTCCACGGCTTGCGCTGAGCAGGACGGGGATGCCTGCAGCCCTTCCCTGGCTCCCGTGGGAAGCTGCAGGCAAAGTACAGACGGAGCTGCTCCAGAGCCGGGCAAGCTCCTTCCCCATGGAGCGGCTGCCTGCATTTGGGGCCAGGGGGCAGAGCATGGCCCCGGCACGGGCCAAGGCTGTGGCTGAGCACGGGCAGGGGTTTGTGCTGAACTGCCACGTCTGCGCCAAGGGTCAAGGTCTGCCCTGCGCAGGGGCTGCCCTGCCTCCACCCGCTGCCGGCACGGCCGGTGTCCGGGAGCACGGCGGGGGCCGGTGCTGCAGCTCGGCGATAACGGCCCCCTCTCAAGAGCTATCTACGGCTGTGTGCCACCAGCGTGCTGCCAGACACGGCACCAGCCAGGCCAGCACGCCCTCCCTGCGGGGACCGAGACCCGGAGTGGGGAGCTGTGTGTGCAGGTCCCCCTGGGCCCACACCCCTGTCCCTGCCGGGGCTGGGGACCCTACCAGGGCCGGTCTCACAGGTGAGTGGGAACTGCTGGATCTCTGGTGCAGAGGTATTGCTGTAATAGTCTGTCTCGTGGACCCACCAGTACGGTCTCTCCCCAAAGAGGATCCTGAAAAGAAAGGAGAACGGGGGCTGTAGGGGTCCTGGGCACCAGAGCAGGTGGGCACAGCTGCAGCTTCAGCTCTGGCCTGGGAGCTGGAAGAGACAAAGGACCTATGAATGGTCCAGGGCATCTCAACAGACACAGCACCCGGCTGGTCACTTGGTCCTGACTGTATGTGTTCCCATCCCTGGCCCCTGAAAGGGAAGAGCAAGAACTTCCTGGGAGCAACTCAACATGCTGAGAAAGACAAGCGGTGTCTTCATCCTCTAAGTCTTTTTCAGGTCAAGAGCGACTGTCTCATGGTAGCATCGGAGGCAGAGGCCAGCCCTCCCTGTCCCACAAGCAGGCAGCATGGGCACCCCAGGAGGTTCAAGCTGCAGGGCAGATGCAGAGCCGGGGTGGCCAGCACACCCCCCGAGCACACTGCCGGGTCCTGCCGCAGGGCTGTGGGTGCAGCCCATGCACGTGGGCTGTGCCAGGCCACCCCCGTGGTGAGGGGCTCTGTGCAGCCCCCCCCCAAAACTGCAGCTGCCACTAACGGCAAAGAGGTCTGTTTGCAGGAGGCTCTGTCTCTCTGCCGGTCCTCTGGGAAGGGGTTAGAGCTGTTGCTGCACAGCTTGGGAAGGAGCAGCCCTCACCACTGCTAAGCAGGGGGCCGAGCTCTGGTCTTGATTTCACACCAGTGTATTCAAGGCTGAGAGTGCACATCTGGCCTGCATTAGTCCAGCTGTGCTGACACGCCCGGAGGGAGCCGTGGCACAGGGCCACTCACCATTTGAAGATGAGGTTGAGCCAGTCACCGATCACGGCCACCCAGATGAGCCTGATGCCCACTGACTTGCTGAAGTGGAACCAGATAGGGAAGAGGACAAAGAAAGCGTTCCTGAGATCAGCAGCGAAGGAGATGAAGAGGAACCAGTCCTGGGAGCCTTGGAAGTTCTCCTGCAGCCAGTGCGTTGCCCAGATGCCTGTGTCGTGCAGGAGGTTCATGGTGGCCTCCATCCTCCTCCACAGCTGCTGCCCCTCGGCGCACTGAGGTAACACCAGGGTTTTATACTCTGCAGGCTCTTGTTTGCTGCGGGCAGGTCGCTCGTCCCAGCACTGATCTTTGGACCCAAAACCACTTTTGCCAAAGGTGCATCAGCGGGGGGGTGTAACAAACATGTTTGGAACAACTTACGTAAAAGGGAAAAACAGGCTTTGAGGGCTCCCAGCAGAGCGTGGGGTGCTCCAGCACCAGCACCTTAACCCTTCCCGGCACCGTCCCCTCCCCGCAGCGCGCAGGCAGCTGTCTTGCTCAGGGGGATCCTGCAGCCCCTGCTCCTCCTGCTGCCCAGAGCAACAGTCCAGCTGCTCCCACTGAACCCCAGCTTTGCTCTGTTATCAGGGAGGAGAGTCAAGCATCCACACTCTGTGTGACCAACGCTGCAGAGCCGCTGCAGCCCCGAGCTGTGACATTTCTCCCGTCCCTCTGCCATCACCCCAAGCACCACCAGATCATCGCAGGGATTCCCAGAAACGTGGGCAGGGTCGTGTGCAGCATGGGGGGGGGGGGGGGGGGGGGGGGGCAGGCTGTCGACCACCCCCACATCTGCTGAAACCTCCAGCTGATGAAAAAACACCTTGCTGTCATGGCATCCAGCCGGCGGATTTAACCAGGATGCTGCATAATGGGAAACCTCCCAAGCCATTACTGGACCTCCCCGCAGCCTCAGACAGCAAACCTTGGGAAGCTCGTGGCTGCCAGAGATGCTTTTCTGATCCCTGGTGTGGGTTAAAGGACCTTTGCGAATGAGGTCCCCAGTGAGGGAAGGCATTCCTCCCAGCACAGCTCCCCTGGGTTAAACCCCTCCTGCACAAAACTGTCCCGTCAGGCCCCAGCTGTGGGGACAGAGCCGAACACACCCCTTGTCCGACCGGTGCCACGTCCCTGTCCATGGCCCTTCCCTGTCCCGGTCACTCTGTGCCATCACTGGCAGCAGTGCCGGCACCACAGCTTCATCGTCCTGTTCCTCCCCATGAGGTAACATTGACTAACACAGACAGCTATTTCCAGGAGCCCCAGGACACGGGGTCAGCCTGGCAGGAGAAACCTCCTTCCCCAGCTCTGGCTGGCCATCATGGGGGTGCCCAGGCAGGGCCCCATGCAGCAAAACAGGCAGCTGCCCATTCTTGGGGGAACAGGCAACGAGGCGTTAATGATTAGCAGCCAGTGAAAACGCATCACTTATCTCCCTCCTCGAGAAAGTTCAGGTCAAGATCCTTGAACCGCTACCCGTGTGCCGCAGCACAGAGCAGGCAGAGGTCTTGCCCAGCGCTGAGTCCTGCCCGCCAGCAGCAGGCTCTGCACAGCGGGGACCGTGGGCACCATCCTGCCCCCTCGCCTGCCTGTGGCCTGGGGAGCTGAGGGGTCTAACAGGCAAAACCACAGCAAACCTTCCTCCCTGGGGTGCTGGCACAGCCCGCTCTCAGAGCTGCCAGGTCGAGGAAGAGGGATTGTATTTGCAAACGCCTGCGCTGTGAAGGCAGTTGGACGATTAGAGATCTGCTGAGATCCACCTCGCAAGGCTGGGGCTGCCTGGGCAGATCTGCAGTTGCAGACCAGCAACGCGCCTGCTCTGTGGGCAGCTTGTCCTCGGCCCCACGGGGCTCCCGTCGGGCAGCAGCCGGGATCCCTCCCGGCGTCCTCGTGTCACACCAGGGCTGACGCTCCTGGGTGAAGGGAAATGAGGGCACAGCCAAAGCCTGACCCTGTGCTCAGCACCCTTGGCCCAGCCTGGCCTGATCCAACTCCATCCCTGGGGCCGGACCGCGACCAGAGCAGCTTCGCCAAACCAGGGAGCGGGGCCGGGGGAGCCCTGGGGTGGCCGGGGCTGCGTACGGTGGGGAGGCAGCACCAGGGGCTCACACTGGTCCTGCTGAGCAGCAATTTCACAGCTGCCATCAGTGAACTGGAAATGCATGTGAAGAAGAGGAAAGTCAAGCGCCCGGGGGAGAAGTGGTACAAACACTGCAGGATCAGCCCTGGCCACAGGGCTGCTCCTCCCTGTCCCTTCCAGCCCGGCCTCGCTCACAGGAGATGGACCCAGGAGCCCCAGTCCCTGGACTGAGCACCCGACCTACAAAGAAACCCCAGCAAAGCAGAAGTTTGTGCAGAAATGGAATTACTCTTGCAAAACAAATTCCCCAACGACTCATGCTAGGGTCCTCAACCAAGAACGGCGTTGGCCTGTGTGAAGGAATGCAACAGACTTGGCTTCTACGTCAAAAATATTTAGAAACAGCGATAAATTCTCCCTGAGAGATTTCACAGCAGAAAATGGGGGCAAAAGTTGTTGGGGGATGGGGACTAGCATGTTCCAGTTCCCTTGGAAAGAGTCACTGCAGGAGAACTGGGGCTGCAGAGCGGAGAGGCCAGGAAGAGGGACGGGAGCAGCCACCTCCTCCCTCCTGGCACAGGAGTGTGCATGAAGCGCTGGCAACGGAGCGGCAGGGTCCAGCAGCCCCTGTGCAGCAGCCAGGCTGCACGTGCCACAGGGCAGGACCCCCAGAGCTCGCACGGCAGAGGATCCCAGTGCTTCCAGTAAATCCCCGGCTTTGTAGCTGCTGCACGGAGCCCGAGCAGGCTGGGGTGGTGGAGGCTGCTGACCTGGGCACTGCGGGGCTTTGCATCCTGGCCAGTTTGGCTGCTGGGAGGGCTACGCCAGGCTCCAGCTTGGACCCTGCCCCGGGCAGCCGCTCTGGTAACACCACCAGCCAGGGATGCGCATCGCAAACTGCCCAGGGGAGGAACGGGGCCAGGCCTGGGGGTGCTTTATTTCCGCGCTGGGGTCCGTGCGCACAAAGCCCGGGATCAGCTGTGTGCCTGCGGAGGTGGTGGCTGGCTCCAGGACACCGCGTCCCTGCGATTCCCAAGGCACCGGACACGGCTACGGGAGCTGCAGCACACGCAGGTGCTGCAAGGTGACGTGCTGCATGCGGTGCCAGTGTTTCATCCAGAAGGTCCCCAGCCTGCTGCGAGGTGCGGGGCCGGGCAGCGAGCTGGGTCACCGCCAGCGTGGGAGCGTGTCCGGTCTCACCTGCGTCAGCAGGCGGGCAGAGTCCGGGCAGCGCTCGCAAACACGCGGGCACACAGCGGCAAGCAGGGAGCCGGCCGGCAGCGACCTTCCCCTCGTGGGGAGCATCCCACCGGCTTCCCCCAAGCCCCGGGATGTGCCTCTGGGGCACAGACCCGCTGTCACTTCAAGGCAGCCAGGGACCACTGCAGCCTCGCACTGAGCCATGCCCCCGAGCTGCCCACTCCTGCCCAACATCCCTTTCCCGGCACCGCAGTGAGCCGACTGGCTCGCAGGGGCACGTGCCGCTGCTGTTAGGGCTTCCTGAGCCCGCCGCAGCACAGCCCTGGGTAGACACAGCTCCCGCGATGAGGGGTCAGAGGGGATGGGTGCCCACCATGTCCCCAGGGACACACTGGCCAGCGCTTGGCATCTGCAGCCACGTGCCAGGGCCGGGCTGTGAGGCTGGAGCTGAACTGTCCTCACCAAACCCCTGTGTCCCCAGCACAGCCGGGCACGGCCGGGGTGGGCTCCGGAGGCTGCGGGATCCCGCAGCCCGGGGCTGTGCATGCAGCTGGGGGAGCGGGAGCAAGGGTCCCTGCGCCGGGCAGCAGCCAAGGCCAGAACCGATTAATGCGGCTCGGTACAGCTGTTACACATTAACTGCCTTGTTTGTCCCATATTCCCCGTCAGGAGCCTCCTGCCAGCACCCGGAGTCCAAGAGCATGGCCGGGGCACGCTCGCACAGCCAGTCTGGGCGCTGTACTGGCCTCATGGCCCTTGGACCCCTGCGAGCACCACAGGGCTGAGCCAGGACCGCCTGTTACAGGGCACCAGCGCCCACAGCACCAACAGTGCCAGGGCTCTGGCCAGGAGCCACAGCAGCATCCATGAGCTACACAGCAGTTTAGTCAGAAAAAGCACCCGAGTGCCTGTTTATTGGAGAAGGGTGCAGATGGGGCAGCTCGGCCCAGGGAGTGCCCGTCCCTCCGCCTTCCAGCGTGCTGCTCCTGCGGGCTCCCGGTGCAGCCCAGTGCACTGTTTCTGTCCCTGTCCCCAGGGCTTGGCACCCAGAGCTCAGTGTCGCTTGGGCCCCAGCAGCCCTGGGGCTGCAGTGGCTGTGGGATCGGGGTGGGTGTTTCAGGCACGCTGGAGCTGTTGGCTCCCCGCAGCCCAATGCCCCCAGGGCAGCGGCTGGGCCACGGTGGCCACCACGCCACCCACTCCCACCACCCTGAGCAAAACCTCAGCTCCAAGGGGAGCTGCAGCTTTGTGCAGTGCCCAGCCCTGGCCAGCACCATTGCCCTGTGTGCACCGACCTACCTTGGGGAGGCAGCAGGGGCCCCCATCCCAGGGGAGGAGAGCAGCCGTGGGCACCCCACAGCACTTTGGGTGGCGTCCTGGATGGAGTCTCCAAAAAAATCACTCCTAGGGGCTGTTTTTCAGAGGCTTTGAGTCCACCTTTGGCAGCGCTGCGGTGCCAAAATGAGAGCCGAGCTCCTCTGAGAGCCCGACCCTGAGCACGCGACATCCCAGGCGCGGGGGAGAAGGTCCTGGTGCGGCAGCAGAGCCCCTCCAAGGGTGCACCCGCCAGCCGGGCACGGGGGCAGCGGCGGCCCCGGCCCCAGCCCCCTCAGAGCCCGCCGGGCGACGGTGCCAGGCTGAGGTTGAGGAAGCCCCCATAGCGGAAGGGGGGCAGGTGGGGGGCACAGGCAGCGTCGGCGGGCAGGCAGGCGAGGGGGTTGGCCCTGCACGCCCCGGCATCCCGATCGCTGCTGAAGTAGACGCTGTCAGGAGAGTCCACTGAGGGATCCTCATCAAAGTAGTTGTAGGGCCTCAGGAAAAAGCCGACGCCGTTCCCCACGGTCACTGTGTTGGGGACGTCTTCGGCATGGGGGACATGCAGGAACCCCACAGAGATCCAAGCGACCAGATCCTGGGCAGGAGGGGAGCCGGGTGCCCCATCAGGCTGAGCCGGACACTTTCAGCCCAGCAGCCGCCCCGTTTGGCTGTGGGACGGGTGAAGCCTCTGGCTAGGCAGGAGCTGGGGCTGCGCCCGCAATGCTCAGCTCCCCTCCTCCCGGGAGACCCAGCTCACCTCGTTAGTGATGGTCTCATTGTCGATGAAGTCAGCGAAGGCGACGGTGGGTGTCCAGGGGTCGTTCTGGTTGTAGACGCTGGTGCTGGTGGGCTCCTCCTCCTTGCGCCGGGTGACGGCCAGCTGGTACCTGCCAGCAAGGGGAGCAGAGGGGCTCGTCTGCGCTGGCGCGGGGCAGGGCGGCCACAGCATCGCTGCCTGGGGATGCACGGGCAAACTGGGGCTGGGTGCGTCCCTGGTACGTGCTGCGGGACCCGGTCTGTCCTGGGCTGGGGGAGGAAAGGGCTGCCGGGGGCAGGCAGCAGCCCCGGCACCTTGGGGCTCGCAGGGGATCATTCACTGCCCACAGCTGCTCCAGCACAGCTGGGAAACACAAATGCATCCCCATGCAGACACTGCTGCTCACCGCCCGACGCCCTCACTTCAGCTACAGCCTCCCCAGAACGTGAGCCATTAAATTTCACCCTGGCAGTGACCCGGTTCTGTGTTCATCCCAAGCATTTTCCAAGAGATATCCTGTCGTCACTTGAAGATGCCAAGAGCTGGGGATGCCAGTGCTTCCCCTGGGAGTACAGCCTAGTCTCCCTCACAGGGAAAAACACATGTAATTGCTCTAAATTAATCTTATCTGGGGTCAGATTCCTGCCTGTGAACTAGTATGAACAGATGTTATTGAGAAACTTTTCAAGGGATTTTTCAGAGCACAAAAATATGCATGTTGCTGTTTAACCCTTCCCTGCATCCTGGTACAGGCTTGCCGGGAGGCAGGAGCAGCCGGGGATGCAGTGGCAGGCTGGGACCCACACACGCCCCAGCCCTGGCACCTACCTGCCCCAGCTGATGGACCTCTCCATGGGGCTGGTGGTGGGCAGGTGCTTCCCGGCGAAGCTGGTGATCTGGATCCGGTAGCTGCGCGGATGCCCCCACTTGTTGGAATTGGGACTGACGAAGGAGAGGTAGCGGGGCATGGGGTCGTTGAGCGGGAACGCCGCCTCATCCTCACTCTCCAGCCTTTCCCTGCGGAGGTACGGCCGCTCGATGGTGTTTGGCATGTTCCAGGGTTCAGTCACAAGCCTGTACTCCATGTCCTGGGTCTCCAGGGAGTTCAGCTGCCCTGTGAAGCAGAAGGGAAAACCCTCTCGAGCTCCGCGCTCCTGGCAGAGCCGCAGACCACAGTGAACTGCAGCCACGCACAAGGGCACCCAAACCTACCGTCAACATCCAGGTCCACCTTGTAGTGGATGTGGTGGAGGTGCATCGTCCCCAGCGTGTGGGGCCCAACTCTGTTGCCATAGTCAGTGCCTCGGCCGTGGAGGAAGGAGGAGCTGATGTAGCCGGTGGCATGCACCCGGACTTCCACGGCCCCGCTGCTGTGGAACATGAAGTCCCAGATGTAGTCGTAGTTGATGAGAGTGGAGACAGCACGGATGACCAGCGTGCGTTTCCGCAGCCCGCCGTAGTACGAGGAATGCGAGTCAGAGAAGTGGCGCCGCAGAGGGAGGGCAGCGTCATGCTCAAAAATGCAGAGCGAATTTTGGTTGGTTTTGGGGGTGTCTGACTCCACCAGGTAATGCCGGTCCACATAGGTGGCCGTGTAGGGGCAGTCGAGGCCCCGGACAAGCTCGTAGGCAAACCTGCCGATGCCGAAGCTGCCATCGAGGTAGCGGGTCACTGTGCCCGCGGGGCAGTTGGAGCCGTACAGGGCTAAAGCCTCCTGGAGACTCAGCTCGTAGACAATCCTCTCTCCACGGTACCTGATGTCAAAGAGGCGTGGGCCGGAGTTGGGGTTCATGCCAAAGGCGATGCTCCAGCCCTGGAAGGTGACGCGGTTGTCCCTGACGCTGTAGCGGGGACCCTGGGGCTCGTACTGCAGCGGGCCCAGGGAGCTGGGCGGGCGCCGAGGTCTCATCGAGCCCAGCACTGTGTCAGCCAGGGGCTTCTTGATCTGGACGACCTCCAGCAAGTTGGTCATAAACTTATTCTCCAGATCCCCCATGCTGGCAAAGAACTGGCCGTTGTAGAAGACTTGGCGCAGCTGCCAGTGGGAGACATGGAGCTCCTTATGCTCCACCAGCACCTCCAGCCCCACCGGCGAGAGGTAGTAGCCGGTGCCGGCCACGCTGTGGAAGAGGACGAACCAGGTCATGCGGTCGCCAGACTTGAAGCCCCGCGGGGCCGTCGTGAGGATGGCCAGGTCGGTCCCGTCGGACTCGCAGCACGCACAGAGGAAGCGTGGTGCCTTTCTCAGCTCCCGCTGGATGAGGGTGTTGATATCCAGGTACTCCTTACCGGTAACAGGCCTGCGGTGGTACGGCACCTTCCCGCCGTACTTCCGCACCGTGACATCCCGGTGATACACCGGCGCCGGCAGCGGACCCACCACGTACTCGGTGACGTTGGGGTCTGGCTGGTTCCCAAAGTACAGCACAGCCAGCGCCTCCCGGGGGGGGCGAGGCCCCCCCCCCGTCCAGGAACCGCAGCACCTCTGCCTTGGCGGGGACCTGCAGGTCGACGGAGGCGATGCAGTTGTCCGAGGGTTCGGCACGCGAGGCGTCGACCAGCTGCACCCCGAGGTTTCCCTGCAGGTACCGCACCACTTGCACCATCTCTTCGCCTGTCAGGTCGGCAAAGACCAGGCTCTGGCCAGCATCGGTGTCCTCCTGCTCCCGGGGCTGGTGCTGGCAGGTGCTGGGAGCCCTTCCTCTGGTCAGCAACACACAGACTAAGGCAAATATCGTGGCTAAAGCCAGAACGAGGAGGACGAGAACAGTTTTCATGTTCATGTCTGTGCAGGCTCTAAGAGCTCCTGCAGTCTGGCAGGGCGGGTTCCCAGCTGCAGAATCCTCCCAGCAACCCACCAACAGAAGGGGCTGGGTTTGGATGGGTTTATTTTTTTCTTTCATTTTTTCAACAGGGAACAGCCCAGAGGAGGTTGTAGGGGGATGTTCTCAGAAATGCCCAGGATTTACTGGGAACCATAAAAGGCAGCTTTGCTCTGCTTCCCCCAGTGGGTCATAAATTTTAAGTAAACTTAATGCTACTGCGTTCCCCTCTTGTCCCACATGCTGCCATGCAGACCTTGGAGAGAACAGGTATGGTCACTTGGGAGAAATACATGCATCTCCCAGCACCTCCTTTTCTTAACCCCACAGATGCAGACAGCAGCGGCTGCAAGGACAATGCTCCTCAGTGCAGAGCAGCACCAAGCGCAGCACCATGGCCCCATCCATCCCTGCCACGACCCCGCCATCACCAGCAACGCCTCTGCACCCTGCTCAGAGACACCGCAGCATCACACGCTGCTGCCACTGACCCCACGCGTGGGAAGGCACCGGTCCTGCAGCCAGGAGGGAGGGAGGGGACAGCAGCTCATCATCCCCCAAAGGTGGGTCCCAGTGCTGGGCTCTGTCCTGGCACAGACGGGGCTGCGAGGAGGGGGACGAGGGCTCCAGAGCCCACCCAGCATCCTGGCAAACGGGCAGCCCTGCCACTCCCACACCTTGGTCGAGCCTGGAGCAGGGCTCTCGTGGGAACCCGGCCAGCGTCAGGCTGCAAGGGGCTGAGCTGGCCCACGCGCTGCCCATGGGGCTGAGCTTTGGCTCTTTCGTGCAGAGACACCCATGGGGATGGTGCTGGGACGGCCAGACCCATCCCTGCAGCCGTCCCCTCCGCTCCCCTCACACCCAGTGGCGAGTGCCCGAGCGGGTCCTGGTTGTCCCCAGCGCCACCCCAAGCCCCTGCAGAGCTCGGTGCCAGCGCCCTGGGACTCCCCCCGCCTGTCCCTTCTGCTGGACTGTCTCCGTGTCTGGGCGGGTGCCCACAGCCTGGCTGATGGGCTGGTTTGTGGGTGCAGGGAACATGTCGGAGACATGGCATCACCCCCCCAGCAGACACTGCTGTAAGTCATAAGAACGAGACACTTGAGAGCCCACTGGACCAGAATCATTTTCATTTTTTTTAACCTGAGATAGGCACTACACAGCACTTGCTTCTACAGCAGAGGAACAGAACTTTCTCCTCACTTCCCTCCTGTGACAGACTCAAATTCAGCAATTAACAGAGATAATGTAGACTCCCATCTGGCATCATGCCAGGAAGATTATGCTTCCCTTTTAAAGAGCACTATTTAAAAGCAGTGATAAAAAGCGAAGTCATTGCACAATGGAAATTGAGACAACTTCACTAAAAAACTGAAAACTGAGACAGAACAGTCAACCTGGTATCTCTGATTGTGTCTCCTAACACTGTCCTGTAGCATTAAAGCCTGCTCGTATTTTGGAAACCATCATAGGTGAATGGAGGGAAGTTTGGCAAACAAGAGGCAGTTTTGGGCAGGCATGCAATCGGGTTGATTTCACAGGCCATGAAGTCCTGCTCACTGGTGAAAAATACGCCATCGTGTGAGAATATGGAGGGGTCCAGGTCATAGTAGTTGTAGGGTCTCAGGAGAAAGCCAACCGAGTTTCCCACTGTCACAGTGTTGGGAATATCCTCAGAGTGCGGGATATGAAGGAAACCAGTGGTTATCCAGGCAACCAGGTCCTAGGCAGGGAAGAGCCACAAGACCACAGTTATTTCAGAAGCCTGCAGCGGCAGTGACCAAAATCTGCACAGGGGCCATGGAAAATGACAGGAGAGCAGGAGGGGACCTCCACAGACACCAGCCCAGCCGCATTCCCACATGCCGAGCTCCCCCCTCCTGGGAAAGATCCCCTCCCTTCCCCAAAGACCTGCCCACAGCCATGGCCACAGATATCCAACCAGCAGCAGGGCCCTTGCCCTGAGCCTCGCGGTCAATCTCGTGCCTTGTAGAGATTTTCCTGACATTTTGCCAGCATTTCTCCATAGGGAGAAACGAGCTCCTGCTCTGCACTCTGATCTACATGCTCTGACCAAAGCACCAAGCAGATACACAGAAAGGGGATGCTCAAACCCACTTTCCCCATTCCCCAGAGCTGCTGCTCTCCCAGCTGAGCCCCCCGCCCCATGGGCAATGCCAGGGTCACTCAGCCCCTGGGGCAGCTCTGGGGCTCCTGCCACAGCTGGGTAGTACAGCTCCAGCCCAGGGGACCCCAGCCCACCTCGTTGGTGATGGTCTCATTGTTGATGAAGCTGGCGAAGGTGACAGTGGGTGTCCAGGGGTCGTTCTGGTTGTAGATGCTGGTGCTGGTGGGCTCCTCCTCCTTGCGCCGGGTGACGGCCAGCTGGTACCTGAGGACAAGAAGAAAGATGGGAGCACCCCCCTGGGTCAGGGCAGAGCTAAAACCCAGCTCCCCAGGGTCTGCAGAGCTCAAGCCTGCTCCTGCAGAGTAACCCCAGTCCCGGAAAGTGTTTTCCCTGTGCCTCCCCATCAAGGAACATCCAGGTGATGCCTCCCCAGCGGACAGGGCTGGGGGTGTCTCTGAGAACCTGCTGTCCCCCAGTCAGAGCAGCCTGACCTTGCCCAGCTGATGGCCTTCTCCATGGAGCTGGCTTCGGGGACATGGTCCCCTGCAAAACTGGTGATCTGGATCCTGTAACCACGCTGGTGGCCCCACTTGTTTTTGCTGTTGGCTGCGAAGTAGATGTATCTGGGCATCTTCGACTGGAGCCGGAAGGCAGCCTGGTCCTCCGTGTCCAGGACCTTCTTGGCGAGTCGCGGCCGCTCTATCTGCTGCTCTGGGCTCCAGGGAGCCCGCGCCATCTCAAACACCATGTCGTGGGCCACCAGGGAGTTTTTCACCCCTGCAAAGCAAGAGCAGAGACACTGAGGGGCATCCCTACAGTCCCCTGCTCCCCATGGACATCACTGCAGCCAGAGCTCACTCTCCCCGTCATCCCTTCCTGCACACCGGGCTCTGAGCACTGGCTTCTGCTTAGGAGAGCAGTTTACTGCTCTGCAGCTCCACACACTGCGACTGTACATCGTGTACATTTATCTATGGCTGTGTGACTGCAGGTTTATCTGCCCCAGGCAAGACCAAGCTGTGGCAGACACCACCATCCATGGGGACCCTCGCCCTCTGCAAGGGACAATAGGGGAGCTTCATCCCAGTGCAGAACAACAGCTTTGCTTTCTGGTGCAAACACAGTCTAATTAACTCAAGCTCCTGATGGCCCAGGCACCGTGCTTATGATCATCAGCATGCGTCTTGCGAGCTGGAAAGCACTAGGAAGAGCCCAGGCTCTGAGCACATTTGCACATCACAAAACTGGAGCAGCGCTGTGCAGTTCAGGTCTTCCCACCAAGAAGAGTCACGAGCCAGAGGCTCAGATCAACAGCAGGGGCACAAGAGCAAATAAATCCAGGGACAAGGCAAAGAGCTGGCTGAGAGCGCTCGATGGCCAGCATCAGCATTGCTCTGGCAGAGGGGCCAGGGCTCAGCACCCATTGCCTGGGCCAGCCAGTGCTTGGAGCACAAAGTCCTCCCATGCTCTGCTCCCCTCATCATCCCACCCCACATGCAGAAAAAAAAAATCTGTATAAGGCCCACAAATGTCAAGTATTGAGAGTCTATCAGTACTAAGGAAGGGCACAAAGGAGAGAAGACCCAGACCTACCTCCCACGTCCAAGTCCACTTTATAGTTGATGGAATGGGTGCGTATTGTACCCAGTGTGTGCTCCCAAACCCTGTTGCCGTATCTCAGACCATCCCCGTGGAGGAAGGATGAGGTCACGTACCCCGTGGCCTGGACCTTGCCTTCGATGGCCCCGTTCTGGTAGAAGATGAAGTCCCACACGTAGTCGTAGTTGCCCACAGTCGCGATGGACCGAACAACCAGAGCAGAGTTGACCAGCCCACCGTAGTAGAGCGACTGCAGGTTGGAGTAGTGGCGCCTCAGAGGGGAGCCCAGGTTCTGCTCAAAGATGCAGAGGGAAGCCTTTCTTTTCCTGGGACTCAGGGTCTCAGACAGAGAGTGTGTGTCGACGTACGTGGCTGAGTACGGGCAGTCGACCCCCCGCACCAAGGGGGAGGTGTAGCGCCCGATCCCAAAGCTCCCATCCATGTACCTCGTCGACATCCCTCCAGGGCAGTTGGAGCCGTACACCGACAACGCCTCTTGGATGCTGATTTCATAGGCAACCCTCTCCCCCTTGTGTCGGATGTCGAACAGGCGCAGGCCCGTCTGCACGCTCATCCCAAAGGCAAAGCTCCAGGCCTGGAAGAGGACGTGGTTGTTCCTGACGCTGTAGCGGGGACCCTGGGGCTCGTACTGCAAAGGGAGCAGCGCAGCCGAGGGTGCTCGGGGCTTCATGGATGAGAAGTCCCCGTCCCGCGGCGCTTTCCTCACTTTCTCCACGCTGATACGACCCTGGACGTAGGCGCTCTCCAGCTGAACCATGTCCTTGTAGTACTGGCCGTTGTAGAAGACCCTGCTCACCGCCCACTGGGAGACGTCCAGGCTGCTGTGGTCCACCAGCACCTCCAGCCCCACCGGGTGCACAAAGAACCCACTCACGTTCTGAAATACAATGAACCAGGACTTACGGTCTCCAGATTGGAATCCGTGAGGGGCTGCGGTCTGAAACGCCACATTGGTACCGTCGTACTCAAAGACTTCTTTCAGGAAGGTCGGGGCTGCAGCAAATGCCACCGTCTCCAGGAATGCTCCCACCTGCTCGTACTCGCTGCCCAGCATCGGCCTGCGGTGGTACGGCACCTTCCCGCCGTACTTCCGCACCGTGACATCCCGGTGATACACCGGCGCCGGCAGCGGACCCACCACGTACTCGGTGACGTTGGGGTCTGGCTGGTTCCCAAAGTACAGCACAGCCAGCGCCTCCCGGGGGGGGCGAGGCCCCCCCCCGTCCAGGAACCGCAGCACCTCTGCCTTGGCGGGGACCTGCAGGTCGACGGAGGCGATGCAGTTGTCCGAGGGTTCGGCACGCGAGGCGTCGACCAGCTGCACCCCGAGGTTTCCCTGCAGGTACCGCACCACTTGCACCATCTCTTCGCCTGTCAGGTCGGCAAAGACCAGGCTCTGGCTCGTGGTTCCCATCTTCTCCACGATGTGGGGCTGGGAATCACAGCTGGGCGATCGCCTGCCCCTGCTCAGTAGCATGCAGGAGAGGATGAAGATTATCACCGCAGCCCCAAACAGGAGAAGGTAGGAAAGTTTGGGGTTCATCTCTCCAAGCGCAGAGGCACTGTGCAGGGTTTGGCTGCAGCATCCAGAATGCGTCCCTCACCTGCAGACCAGGCTCTTTATTCATTTCCCGACTGTGGGCGTAAAGGCGTCGCTTGCGAGGTGGGGAGCGAGCCTGGAGCTTGCAGGGGACTCGGAGAGGAGATCACAGGTCCCAGCCAGTTCAGCCTGTTTCCTCCCCACCCCAGACACACTGAGGAAGCCAGCTGGGAGCCGGCATCTGAGTCACTCCCCAAGCTACTGCTGCCTGTCTCTGCTGCAGGGTGACACCACAAAGAGCCCTGGCCTCCGTCTGCCCAAGGGGCTTTTGCTTCTCCCAGCATCTCCCAGGACACCCCGTCCTGTCTCGTGGGAGCACAGTGATGCCACAGGAGCAGGCTCAGCCGGCCCGGTCCTTCTGCACCCCGGTGCCTGGGGACCAGCCCCGCTCCCCTGAAGGGCTGGGCTGGGCTGGCACTCCAGGAGAGCCCAAGACCTGCCGGTTCCCCCGCACCTCCACATGCCAGTTCTCCCTGTCGCCATTCTCTGTTGCCTCCAAGTCCCTCCCAACCTTGAGGGAAGCAACCTGGCAGCTCCAGCCTGGATTCAGCTGTGGGCAGACTAGCTGAGACAGGAGGACGGTCCCTGCCGAGAACAGGCAGCGCTTGCTGAACCTCTGGCAGCAACTGCAAACGACAGGCAGTCCCTGGAGCAGCTGCACCAGGAAGAGCAGAAGCTGCAGGATGGCGAACAGGACACATCTGTCCCCATTCAGCCATCCCAACCCCACTCCCGCAGATACAATCCTCGGAGCAGAGCTGTCACGGACAGAAATGGCTACTGTCAGGAAACTTTGTACTCCTGACTGCACGACGGACCTTCCCCGGCGAGGGGAGCAGCGAGCCAGGGCACCGGGGCCACCCCAGCGCGGTGCGAGGCAGCTGCTCGTGCACCTCCGGCCCCACGCGCCTGGCCCCGCACGGGGCGGCAGCGGCACACCGCCCGCTGAGGATGCCTTTCTGGAGATGGTGGTCTACTTCACACCCTTGTGGTGGGGACAGTTTGAGGCACAGGCAGGAGGGGCTGGGCAGGGGTTGAAACCACTACAGCACTGGATCAATTTATCACTCTTGCTATCATGTTAATTTAGGAACTTGCGTTCTCATTCTCACTTCCAGCCAGGGAATAATCGCCCTTTCTCCCTGCAGGTGCTACACCAGCCTCAGATCAGGATCCAAGAAACCTGTGTGGGAGATGACCCATTTTTGCTGTGCTGCGGTTTTCCCTTCCCTGCGCTCAGAAGGTGGGAGTCCCGCCGGGCACGGCTTGAGCAGCCCGCATGGCCCCAAGCCCTGCTGCTCAGGACAGGGCTCCCCTCCCTCGCTAAGGGGAACAAGTCTGGGATTTTACACAACTCTGCTCAAGAGCATTTTGCAGCAGCCAGGGCTCAGCTTCTGTAAACAGAGCAGGGAAACTGAGGGGTACAGCAGCTACAGAAAAGGACCTTGCTACCATGCAGGAACTGTAATTTAGCACGTTTCTGAGCCTCACTTGCAGGAAGGAAACCAGTACCAGCCCTGGTTTTGACAGTAATGACAGCAGCAGCAGCTTTCAGGGTCACACAAACCTCTGCATCGCAGGCAGGTACAAGAGAGGACACATGCCAGGACTGAACGCTTGCATTGGAGTCAGCTGCAGCTTGGCACCCGTTAGTTCTCCAACTGCTCCCCACAATCCAGGAGACAGCATGGGTTACAGGAGCTGCGCTCCTCCCCGGGCTGGTACAGATGCAGTCCGCTGCCTACCAGCAATCTCTTTGGTTCCGTGCAGATGTAAAACATTTTTTTCCCCTACGTTTTACAGGAGCGGGTTTCAATAACAGACACCTAATGCTTTCAGTCTGTGCTCCAGCATCACCACCGCCCTTGCACCTCCCTGGGCTGCAGTTACTGGAATGGCCTTTCAGGGGAAGCAAAGCTGTCGGTTCAGGCTGAGCATCCGTGCTCCTCCCAGGGTGGATGCCAGCGCTCCCCTGCTCAGCCTGCCAGACGGTGCAGCAAAGGGCTGCTCCTGGACTCAAATAACCCTCAGCAGGGATCCACCGCCAAAAACCGTGACTCTGTGCAAGAGTAGGGGAATTCACTGGCTCAGAGCAGTGGCTTTGCAGCCCAAGACTCAGGATCTAACTTACAAGTGTTTCCTCAAAAGAGAAGCAGGGATAGAGCTGTGCAAGCTCAGCCCTGCAGAGCACCAGCCCAGCTGCCCTGCTTTACGCTGGGCAGACAAAATACAGAAAGGACCTTCCCAGTTACAAGAAGCTTCATGACCAGCACCAGGAGCAGCAAGAGCAGGCTCACGCCTTCAGCCCTGCAGACAGGGCTGTCCCTCCCGTCTGCGGGGCCATGCCTATAGCAACACGCACTCTGCCAGACATGAGGCCTCAAGGAAACACAAACATTTTTCAGCTGCTACCTCTCATACTTTCCCTGGGCTGAACACGGAGCTCCCAGACAATTCCCACTGCCTTCAACTACATGGCCTTGAAGACTGCTTTATACACAGAAAAATAATTTTGAAGTGAAAGAAGGGGTTAGGAGAGCGAGAAAGCCGAATTCCGATGTCAGTTATCAGGGACTCTACGGACTGGGAGGCAATCTTGCCAAAGCTCTGGGGTTTACCTGTATAAGGGCAGATATGAAAGGAAGACCCAGACCTACCTCCCACGTCCAAGTCCACTTTATAGTTGATGGAATGAGTGTGTATCATGCCCAGTGTGTGCTCCCAAACCCTGTTGCCGTATCTCAGACCATCCCCGTGGAGGAAGGATGAGGTCACGTACCCCGTGGCCTGGACCTTGCCTTCGATGGCCCCGTTCTGGTAGAAGATGAAGTCCCACACGTAGTCGTAGTTGCCCACAGTCGCGATGGACCGAACAACCAGAGCAGAGTTGACCAGCCCACCGTAGTAGAGCGACTGCAGGTTGGAGTAGTGGCGCCTCAGAGGGGAGCCCAGGTTCTGCTCAAAGATGCAGAGGGAAGCCTTTCTTTTCCTGGGACTCAGGGTCTCAGACAGAGAGTGTGTGTCGACGTACGTGGCTGAGTACGGGCAGTCGACCCCCCGCACCAAGGGGGAGGTGTAGCGCCCGATCCCAAAGCTCCCATCCATGTACCTCGTCGACATCCCTCCAGGGCAGTTGGAGCCGTACACCGACAACGCCTCTTGGATGCTGATTTCATAGGCAACCCTCTCCCCCTTGTGTCGGATGTCGAACAGGCGCAGGCCCGTCTGCACGCTCATCCCAAAGGCAAAGCTCCAGGCCTGGAAGAGGACGTGGTTGTTCCTGACGCTGTAGCGGGGACCCTGGGGCTCGTACTGCAAAGGGAGCAGCGCAGCCGAGGGTGCTCGGGGCTTCATGGATGAGAAGTCCCCGTCCCGCGGCGCTTTCCTCACTTTCTCCACGCTGATACGACCCTGGACGTAGGCGCTCTCCAGCTGAACCATGTCCTTGTAGTACTGGCCGTTGTAGAAGACCCTGCTCACCGCCCACTGGGAGACGTCCAGGCTGCTGTGGTCCACCAGCACCTCCAGCCCCACCGGGTGCACAAAGAACCCACTCACGTTCTGAAACAAAGCGAACCAGGTGATCCGATCTCCAGACTGGAATCCACGGGGAGCGGCTGCCAGGGGTGCTAGACTGGCCCCGTCATACTCCATTACTTGACGCATGAAAGATGGAGCGGTGGCAAACACTTGGCCTTTTAAAAACCCCGCAATCTGTTTGTATTCAACAGCCAGCATCGGCCTGCGGTGGTACGGCACCTTCCCGCCGTACTTCCGCACCGTGACATCCCGGTGATACACCGGCGCCGGCAGCGGACCCACCACGTACTCGGTGACGTTGGGGTCTGGCTGGTTCCCAAAGTACAGCACAGCCAGCGCCTCCCGGGGGGGGCGAGGCCCCCCCCCGTCCAGGAACCGCAGCACCTCTGCCTTGGCGGGGACCTGCAGGTCGACGGAGGCGATGCAGTTGTCCGAGGGTTCGGCACGCGAGGCGTCGACCAGCTGCACCCCGAGGTTTCCCTGCAGGTACCGCACCACTTGCACCATCTCTTCGCCTGTCAGGTCGGCAAAGACCAGGCTCTGGCCAGCATCGGTGTCCTCCTGCTCCCGGGGCTGGTGCTGGCAGGTGCTGGGGGCCCTTCCTCTGGTCAGCAACACACAGACTAAGGCAAATATCGTGGCTAAAGCCAGAACGAGGAGGACGAGAACAGTTTTCATGTGCATACCTGCTGCTGGTCCCAAGGCACTCACAGCAGCTTTCAGAGCAAGGTTTCTAGCTGCTGCCTCCGTCAGTTTACGCTGCACTGGAAGGGTTAGCACAGAAAGCACAAAAGACTGGGAGAGGCTAGGGGAGGAGATCTGAAGTTCGTGGCGACCAGAAAGGGCAGATCTCCTCTCTGAGCTGCAGCCTTCTCTGTCCTCCTTCACGAGCAGTGCTGTGGAAGAACTAGTGGAGATGCAGGGTCAGTGACTCAGACAAGTTTCACATAATTCTGTTACTTTTTCAGTCCAACCTAGCTTCCTGAGGCTGCCTGTAAAAATGAAGATCTTTTAGTCAGCCTGAGGTGGCTGGGACTACTGTGAGGCTCTGACAAGCTGGGAATTGTTGCCATACTGTAGAATTTCACTTCTTTGCAACTCACCAAATTTCCTTGTTTACCAGGCTGCTTCCTTGTAAACACTCTCCCTGGCAGCAAGATTCCAAACCTGGAGTTACTTTTTATTTTTTTAAATCTTCCACATGGAAGACTTTGCTGAAAACACATCCATCTGTGTAGTAGTATAAAAAATTTGTCAGGCATGGAGAGATGTAGTTCAAGTTGAGATTCAGGACCCAATGGGCTGTGAACAACTACCTCTTGGTTTGCACCTCTGAACAGCTGTGAACTAATTAATCCCCCCGCATTCCACCGAAAAGGTCACACGGCTTTTGTTTCTGCCTCTGATTCAAAGATAAACTGGGGTGCAGCTTCTGAGAAGTTCCAAGGACAAAACCACCCCAACCCGCAGCATCTGAGCAGGCAGCCGAGGGCAGCGCCTGCCATCGCTGTGCTGCCAGGCTACCGCTGCCCAGGCTGAGCAGCCACCTCCAGGGTTTCTACCACAGGTTGAGACAACTCCTCTCTGCCGTTGCCACCGAAGGTCACTCTGCTGGTGTCACAGCACTGTTGAAAGGCCTTGGCAGAAGGAGGTGGCCAGCCAACAGGACGTGGTGCTCCGTCCTGCCACGGGGCAGATGCTTGGCATAGACAAGATGCACCGCCTGAGCCACCAGCCCTGCCTGTCCCGGAGCTGGTGCCGAGAAGCACAAGGCATCCAAGAGAACCACAGCTGGAGTGTCAACCCAGCATTTCCACTCCTGCTGCCAGCCTCACCTCACCTCACCCTGGCCTTCCCTTCCTCCTCCCGTCAAGGTTTCCTGGTGGGAGGCAGCCCCCCCGCAGCCTCAGCACTGCCTCCAGTTCCTCCTCTGCAGCAGGTCTTGCCCTGGCCTCAGCTCCTCTGCGGTCCTCCAGCCGTGCCCACCAGGCACCACACTGGCAGGCAGGAGGCCACGCTGCCGCAGGACGCTCTCCCTTATCCTCACCACACTGGCAGCCTCAGCCTCTCCGGCCCAGGGACACGCACGTCCACTCTGTGCCGGCACGCGTCACCTCCGCCTCGCCGGGTGCCGCGACAGCAAAGCCTGCAGAGCCACAGCAGCCGATTCACC